ATTCCATTGTGTATTTTGTTTAGCCTTTCATCCATTTGTGGATACTAGAGTTGCTTCCACGTTTTGGCTATTGTGATAATGCTGCAATGAAAAAGAGTGTGCAAATCTCTTTTCAAGACTCTGCTTTTAATTCTTTCGACCATGTACCTGGTAGTAGAATTACTGGATCATATGGTACTTTTGTTTTTTATTTTATGAGGAACTTCCATACTGCATCATTTAACATTTCCACCAACAATGTCCAAGGGTTCTGATTTCTTCACATTCTTTCCCACACTTATCATTTTGTTTTTGTTTTGTTTTGTTTTTAGTAGTTGCCATCCCAATTGATGTGAGGTAATATTTCATTGTGTTTTTGATTTGTATTTCCCTAAACATTAGTTATATGGAACATCTTTTCATATGCTTTTTGGTGCAGAATGATTTTAAGTGGTGATACTCTTCTTCTTACTGAAACGATGAAAATTTCTCTCTCCTGCAATAATACTTAGAGAAATTCTAAGAAACATTGTACCTTACCTAGTAAGGTACAATGCTGTTAAACACTACTCAAAGTTCAAGATACCAAAATATCAGTATCTGCTATAGTTTCCCAGCTAGTCAAGAACATGGCTTAAAAGAAAAACTTCTAATATTGGTTAATCTTTCATCTTTTGTTTTAACTCTTAGATTAAATTTTCTTATCTTCAAAAATCCTCTTGAACAGCTGTAAGCTTCTATTTTTCAAAGGTTTTATTACAAGTCACCAGAAAAATGCACATCCTCCCTCTCTCATGAGATGGAAATAAGAGATAAACATGCCCAAAGGAGAAAAATTATTTTATCCAGAAGCTCCAGTAAATTATTTCTCTTAGCAAAGTCTCTTTGGTTTCTGTAATGTTATACTTCACTTTATTCACTCAATATCTACTCCACTAGGTACTACCCACTCAAAGATAAAATGATTCAGTTTCTGCCCTAACAGATTTCACAGTCTAGTGGTAAGAACAGACAAGAAAGTCAGCAAGTTTGACACAGAATGACATGTATTGTCATTGAGAGCAATTTGCCCAAGGTCTTGTGGGAAGATAAATGGATTAATTAATCACCTGAAGCCCAAGATTTGGCATGGGAAGGGTTGTCAGAAATGGGGAAAGGGAAATGAGGTGAATAGAAGGGCTCCTTAGAAGTATTTTAGATATCAAAGATGTGATGGAAATTTTCCTACAAATATTTTCAAGCTGATTTTTAGTTCCCCTGGTCCTTCCACTTTTAATACATAATTTTGATCCATCTGTGTATATTTAAATTATCTTTTTAAAAGTTAATTTATTTAATTTGAGAGAGAGAAGGAAAGAGAGAGAGTGCAGGGGAGGGGCAGAGAGACAGGGGGAGAGAGAATCCTAAGCAGGCTCCACATGTGGAGCCCGATGTGGGTCTCGAACCACAATCCCACAAACTGGAGATCATGACCTGAGCTGAAATCAAGAGTGCAACGCTTACCCAGCTAAGCCACCCAGGTGCTCCACAAGACCTTACAAGGTCATTTTCTATGAAATTTATTTTGCACAAAATTTGTATTTAATTTTTACATTGGAAGAAAATGTAGAGTTTGTAACACAGTTTCATGTCATGTTAAAAGTTTTAAGACGTTCTTTTATTTATTTTTACCTTACTGCCAAGACACTGATTTTCTTGGGATCTTACATTCTCATATTTCTGCATCTCAAAAGCATCCGTTAAAAGTCTTGATCTACTGGGGCACCGGATAACTCATTTGGTTAAGCAGCTGATTTCAGTTCAGATCATGATCTTGTGGTTTGTGAGTTCAAGTTCCAAGTTGGGCTCTGTGCTGACAGCTCAGACCGTGGAGCCTTCATCGAATCCCGTGTCTCCGTTTCTCTCTCTGTGCCCCTTCCCTGCTTGTGCTCGGTCTCTATTTCTCAAAAATGAATAAATGTTCAAATTTTTTTTAAAAAAATCTTGATCTAGAGATGGATAAGTCTCCTTGATATTTGAGTTTATAGCTTCATTATTTTAAACTAGCAATGAAAGTGAAAGCGCTCCTTCGAGTATTTGTTCTTGAGTTAAGAGAGCTCCTGGGTGAAATGTGTCTTTCAAATTCCGATGACGGTGAGTGGTATTAATATCAAATAATTTCAGATTTGACATTGTCTAATGAAATCATTGAGCACAGTTCTTTCTATGTCTGAACATACCGAGATGCACAGAATTCAGTTTGACCAAGGAAATACAATAAGTATAACAAATTACAATAGGACCAGATACACAAAGAAGTCTTCCATTTAGCCTACACGGATTAATTAGTTACAAGAACTGATGGAAGTATTGTTCCCTGTCTGGGTCACTCACTGAAAGTTGATTTTTTTTTAATACCTTTTAAGCACTTGCACAATTCTATTTTCATTTCTGGCATATGTAGTTTGCCACTGTACTAAATAAATAGGCCACTCATCTAGAATTTCCTTTGAACTGAAGGGCTTAGAAATTTGAAATTCGTGCAATGAGACAGAAGGAAATGCACACAGAGACAACAATCTGGAACCGAGCTAACACAGAAGTAAAGCAACTTGCTCCATTTTGAATCGTGCTTTCGGAGCACCACTTCTCTCTCCTGTCCTCATATTTGGATCCTTCAGTTCTACTCTTTCATTTCTATTGAGAGGCATCCCACTGGAGGGGGCCATTCAGCCATCACACCATTTTTATTCGCCCTTTTGAAACATTTCTGTTGAAAGGTTTACCGTATATTTTTTAAATGTTCTGTTTTGGTTGAATATGGTCACATGTGTTTGACTTCTCAGAGGCAGCTTTGAATTTCCACAAATGCATTGTATTATGAGAATCTGGCTTCAACAACAACTCCTTTAAATGGCTGTGGACTTCTCTCATTTTCCTTATTACAAGGAGCGAACATGGGCTGAGTATTGATGGGCTGGGGATGGTGTACCTTTTGTACATTCTCTCATTTAATCTGAGCGATACCTCTGCAAAATAGATACTGTCATTAATCCCAGTTCTCACAATTCAATAGTAATAGGCATAGAGCCAAAGTTAAACTCAAGACTTTTTGCTGCTAGTATTTGTAGTCTGATCACTGTGCTATGTGCCATGACTCCTAACAGTTAGTACTTTCCACATAGTAAAATTCTCACTAAAAAATGTGAATTGAATGGAACTGAATCCATATACTGGCAGCCCATATTCAATGCTCACTGTTACAGACAGACATTAGGAAATAATCTTTTCCCCAGGAGGAAAATAAATACAACCCTAAGACATTAATTTCTAATTATATTTTGCCATGGAAGATATAATCTTATAATCAAACTTACGCATCTTATATGCTACACAAACATTTCCAACTTTCTTAAATTATTAACCTTGACCTTTGTGATAATCAGGAAACATTAAAATAGAAAATGCAGTAATACAATCAATAACTTTCTCTGCATAATCATGCTGAACTGAGCGAAATAAGAGTTATTTTTTATTTGGAAAAACAATATTACTCTGTTTTGACTCAAGGGTGTTAACGTTTTTAGTGTTCGCATTAATATGTTTTCTTTTGATCGTACAATTATTACATTTATTTTCCTTCATGAAATGGAAAAATATCCCAATAGCCAAATGCTAATGACGTGTCCATAGAGTCTGAAAATGTACATCTCATTAGGTTTCTGTTTTTCAGCTGATAAAAGTTTATGAAGTCAGGATTTGTTTCTCTTGGGGGGTTTTACTTGTGTATTTTTAAAGATATATTTACCATTTCCCTCAGGTTGATTGTCTGTCCTTCATTATCATAGCAACAAAAGTTTTCCACTTTGTAGTCTTACACAGCTCAGATAGATCTAGTCTGTTCTTCCAAAAACATGAAGAGAATACCTGCTGCATGTTTTTTAAAAAAATATTTTTTGTTCTTCATCTTTGAGAGATTATGTTTATCCAAAGAAAGTGTATGACTCAATATGAGGTTTGTTTTATGCTTTTTTTGTGTGTGTGTTTTACGCTTTTTAAAAATTTTGACTTGAACTTTGATGTTAAGCGTCCTCAAGACATAGTTTTGTTGTGATCGTTTTAGCACTTAAGCAAATAAAAACAACTGTTTGTGATATCAACAATAGTGTTTCTAAGAAAATATAAGCCTGAACTTTATTCTCCCTTTTTCTAATATTGCCCTACCTTTTCTATCTACATGAAATCTTCCTTAAATGAAAATGTTAAGAGGGAACTGAGACTCTCTTAAATTCTTCATTAGTTGGCTAGGTCTCCCATAGCAAGATGTTGTGAAAAACAACTTTCATGTAGTTATTTTTGTTCTGATATATTCAGAGAAGGGACAGTACTAAAAAGCTTAGATTTGGATTTCAGACCTTAGCATGGCTTTCAAGTACATTTTCTTCTGATTTTTACTGGCAGCTCTCTCGTTGGTAGTGTTTACCCATTTTAGAGAGGATGCAAAACTTCAAAGTGAGTTGTCAGTCCAAGTTCATCTAGTTTGTAGAGTCACAAATTAAACCTGGAAGTTCTGATCACAAGCTCTTGTTAATAGTTCATTTTCACTTTCCATGATTAGATGCCATGACATGAGGAAAAGGGAAACAAACAACTCTAAAGTGATTTAAATTATAAGATGTCATGACACCCTATATTCAATTGAAAGGCTTAAAAATTTTTAATGTGTATAATCTATACATGTTGCACATTGTGTATGAAATATATAGACATTATATATTATATAGGTAATATTCATTATGTAACATAGTTTTAGTATATTATATACCCTATCAGTATATTATATGTAAGATATAAATGTGTGTGTGTACACACCCTATACATATATGCTATATATAGGTTACCAAACTTTCCTATTTAAGGAGTTTTTTTGAACACGACAGGAAGATATAACCTAAAGTAATCTTTCAAACTGGTCACCATGGAAATGATAGACAAATTGAGAGTATTGTTTCAATATTTTTAACCCTTTACTTTGTTCACAGTTGCAAACATTTTTTGAGACATTCCTGACAGTCAGTTCACCTCTTCAGGCTTTTGATAATATGAAGGAAACAATTAGCAAACTCCTCCTAGCAGCTGAAGTATTCAGCGAAACATCTACTCTGGGACCAAAGACCTTCAATAGGTAAAAATAATAATAATAATAATGTTAAAAAAAGAAAAAAATAACTTAAAAATTGTTAGTGAAAATATATCCTAATTATTACAAGTTGGTACTATTTGGGAAATGTTATGTCAGTATATAAATATGAACTTGGAAGCATCTTTTCATGTTTGTAGACCCTAAGCTTCAAAGCATGTTACAGACTTGTTAGTGTCTAAATAAAAGTAACAAGAAATAAAGCACACATAATTTAAATGAATTTTAATTGTATCCCCATTTTAAACTTAGGTATTTCTATCATATGCAGTTTCCCTTGACTAGGTATAATTTTACGTATGGTCCTTATTAACAATATTCAATAGCTACTATCTCTGTATTTCAGCTTACTTCAGTGTAATTTAATGTCCTTTTTCTAGAAAAAAATGTTAAATTTACAGTGCCAACAGAAAGGAGGTGGCTCAGTTAAGCTATATGATGCTTCCTATGTGAATAAGAATGGCTAGCATGTAGGAATAAGAGAGTTTCCGTCTCTGTATTTGCATTTTCATGATGTAACCTCATTGTTTAATGTGTTCTGAATACTTTAGATGTATTTGTATATTCTTTAAGGAACCAAACAAATTCCAATTTAAAAATAAATTGCATGTAATTTTATATTATCCAAGCTACTGCTTTCTTTAATTAGTACATACCTTGAAATTTAACTATAGTAACTGTTAATAATGCATCAAATGATAGAGTAAATGTAGCAAATAGAATATATTTTTTTATTACCTTGTGTTTTTATTTCAGATGCAGATTATGTTTTCAGCTTTTAACTTTTGACATTGGTTACCACAATTTCAGGTACCCTGTTGTGCTCCAGGTGAGTATGCCAGAGGCTTCCTGTGAGCTTCTGCCTTATGCTTAATGATCTGTGTGTGTGTGTGTATGTGTGTGCATGCATGTGTGTGTGCATGTGTGTGTATGTGTGTGGGGGGTGCATGTGTTTGAGTTGTTTGCATTCACAGTAACTAATCAATAAATAGCAACTTGTATTAAAGTTACTACAAGCTTATATTTTACTGGAGTTCAGAAAATGAACTAATGTATGGAGAATCTGTGATTTGAGCGGCAGCCTCAAGGTGGAACAGGCACAGATTTTTCTATGGTTCAACCACTGTTTATGAAATAAAGAGGTAAACATTTGGATAATAGAAAATAGCAGATTACCCAGTTTATTCACTTGAGTTTATAAAAAAAGTAACTCTTATTCTTTATATATATTTAGTTTTCTTTTTTTAATGTTTATTTTTGAGAGAGAGTGGGAGCGGGAGAGGGACAGAGAGAGAAGAAGACAGAGGATCCAAATAGGCTCTGTGCTATCAGTACAGAGCTGGATGAGAGGCTCTAAGCCATGAATGAGGGGCTCCAAGTCACAGACCTTGAGATTATGACCTGAGCAGCAGTCAGATGCTCAATCCACTGAGCCACCCAAGGCACCCCTAGATATTTGGTGTTAAATTGGCCTATATTTTAATTTTAAAAGACAGAAAAAATTTTTAAATAAATGTTTTTTTCTAGTATAAAATATGTGTCAATTGAAGAGTGGTTTCTTTTTGTATTCCTGATTCTTTTACTTCCTTTCGAATTAAATGAACTCATTCAGATAATCTCCAACATATTTTTCATCTAAAATATCCCTTAGTGGCAAGAAGATTAAAAAACATTGATTGCCTGGTGCAGCCCCTCTGGAAAACAGTGTGGAAGTTCCTCAAAAAATTAACAATAGAACTCCCCTAGGACCGAGCAATAGCACTGCTAGGAATTTACCCAAGGGATACAGGAGTGCTGATGCATAGGGCACATGTACCCCAATGTTCATAGCAGCACTCTCAACAATAGCCAAAACATGGAAAGAGCCTAAGTGTCCATCAACTGACAAATGGATCAAGAAGCTGTGGTTTATCTATACAATGGAATACTACATGGCAATGAGAAAGAATGAAATCTGGCCATTTATAGCAATGTGGATGGAACTCGAGGGTGTTATGCTGAGCGAAATAAGTCAGGCAGAGAAGAACCGATACCATATGTTTGCATGTATAGGTGGATTAGGAGGAACTTAATGGAGGACCATGGGGGAGAAGAAGGGGAAAAATAGTTGGGGAGAGGGAGGGAGGCAAACCATGAGAGTCTCTTGAATGCTGAGAACGAACTGAGGGCTTATGGGGGTGGGAGAGAGGGAAGGGGGGTGATGGGCATGGAGGAGGGCACTTGTTGGGATGAGCACTGGGTGTTATATGGAAACCAACTTGACAATAACCTATTTAAGAGATAAAAAAACAAAACCAAGAACAAAAAAAAGCATTGGTTGAATAAGTCTACCAAAAACTTTATTTGGGGATATGGTGTAGGAAGAAGGAAAGAGGAGCAAAATAAAATTATGTGCAACCAAAATTCAACTTCATATTGCATTGATTGCTTTTCAAACTGTTGTACAAGGTGAATGGTTATATATTGTGTGGCTCAGACACTTAGTTGAATAGTTCAAAGACTCATTCATAAAATTTTGAAACTTTATGAATCTACATTAAAAATTTTTCATTATCTCACACACATTAATTAGTGTGTTCTTTAAAATTTATTGTTCAGAAATGTTACATATTATCTTTCATAGACACAAATTCTTCAACAGTAAAGAGTTTCAAAATAAACTATGTGACTTTATAATCCATTAATCTTCTTAGAAAGTTGTATCTTCAAAAGAATGTTACTTATATTTTATAAAACTGTTGACCTCAAAAAGGCCACTAGATGTCAGTTCTGATCTACAATCCAATAGGAATGAATCATGTCTTAGAAGTGATTCGCTGCACTAAAATAAAAGTCAGTGCAAAATATTTGCTGTGCTTTTACTCTTTCACAGGTGCATGAGCATTTAAATTTTCAAGATGATGATAATGTGGATTTTGAGGACCAAAACATACAAGAATTCCTTTTACAAGATACTTTCAATATTCTCTTCTCTAATGAATCTTCACTTCCAATGTTTTATGAGATATTTCAGGGACTTTATACATCAGGTGTTTTTAAGGTAAATGCATATATTTGTAGTACAAATATTTTTTTCAAATCATTCTTTGGAATGTGCCAGTTTATTGTGCAGTTAAGCAAATTGATAATTCACTTGAAACTAACTGATATCCATTATATTACATCTCTTAATATTCTTCTGACATGAAGACTAATATTATTTTATGTCAACTAAGTATGAATGACTGGTTCTGATGCAGTTATGGGTTAAAAGAAAGCAGTTGCTAATTCCCAAGGAATGTTTGTGGATATTATGAATAATACATAGTCTGTGTTGTTTAGAATTCTTTAAGAGGAATAGAGCAAATAAGAGAACTTTTTGGAGGCAAACTAGAATAGCAGTGAATGCTCTAGATTGATACCAAGGGACTAGAGTTATAATCTTAATTTTTAAAGAATTCACATCTGGTAAACATCTTTGCTTAGATTTTGATGATTAGGATGTAGTGCTTCAGAGTAGCATTGGTTAATTTAGAGGCTGCTCTTTCCCTGGGATTTTATTAATTTTTCCCTGTAGTTCCTTGTTTTCCTTCATTAGTGAGTGGATTGTCATTAAAGTCATTAGAACCACTTCACCCAGAAGGAATGGAAAATATTTGCAACTTCTGCTCTCTGGGATGCATCAGGAAAAAAAATAGATGTGGGGGAAAATGGGGTAGGGGGACTGTCTGTTTATCAGAATTCACAAACTCCAAAATTGTAATGTCCCATAGTTAAGATTCACATGTTTATTTGCTGCTCTGGTCTCTGGTACTCTGAAGGCTGAAGGAGACTCTTCCTGTGTTCCCAAATTGTCACACACGTCTACCTTCCTGGGTTCATCTACCCAAGCTTACTACCAAAGCACTGTTGAGCAATTTCATTCAGTTCTTCTTTGTCAAATCTGAATTTTCTTAGAGGCAGACACTGTTGTGACAAGCTGAAGTTACTATGTATTATTTAGCATTAATTAGCTCAGCTGTTTATAGAGTTCGAAGTTTGGTTTTATAAAGTAGGAAGCAATTGGGCTAAACATGGTTTGACTTTGTAACAATTGCTTACGATTTGTTCCCCTCCCCCATTATAGGGTGAAAACTATCAGAAGGAACCAAATCAATGCCTGTCTTTAGAGGAGATGCACTCAATTATGACTTTCATAAAGGAACTTGGGAGTTTGGGGCCATTCCAACTGGTAAAACAAAAAGTGACATTTGATTCCTCATGATTACTGAGATTATAGTAGATCAGCCATAAGCTATTTGATTGTCACTTGGTGAAGATACTTCTTTAAGAACTAGAAATATTTGTAGGTTTCTTTCTTCTTTTCAGAGATCTAAATATTAAAATGAGCAGAATCCATAATCTTTAAGACTTTGCAAATAATACATGGCTTATTCAAGCTAAGACGATACGAGATCAGTTTAGTTGCCAGTATGTGGCAATTCTTAAGAGGAAAATGTCCACATTTTTTAGAGTTTTGCTTTTAGCTTTGGGACATTTATGTTTGACAAAAATTTCTTTCTGCTCATTGTGCCCTTTTTGTTTGCATAAAACTGAATACTACTGAATATAACCACATCTTAGAAAACTACCTAAATCTTAATTTGTTACAAACCTCAAAGAAAGAAAATGTAAATAATTATGATAACTTTTACTTGTTTCAACCTAAAACATCAATGACATTTATTTTCTTTTCTATGTATTTTCTTAGGTTCTGTCAATGTATTGGTCAATATCAAGGTCAATATTAATATAATTTAGTACATGTGCATGTTCAGTATTTGCTTTGTTTCTAGTTCTGTCACTTATCTAGATAGATTACAAAGGATTAATATTTTTCTACCTAAGATTTGTTTATACAAAACATCTTTTAAAACGGCATTTTTAAAAGTCCACTGATAAGTTATTATTAATCTGTATGGATCAAACATTTATTTTTTACTTAAAAGAAAAATGTATTCACATTCTGCTTGTCTGAGTTATAACCAATTTACTAAGTTAAGTAATGAATGTTTGGTACTTGGTTTTATCATTTAGACTCATTTTATTTCCTTTTTTCCAAATTTTTATTTAAGTTCTAGTTAGTAGACAGTACAATATTAGTTTCAGGAGTAGAATTTAATGATTCATCACTTACATGTAAAACAGTTCATCATGATAGACTCATATTTTAGAGGATTCAAAGTAAGCTTTTGCCCCAAAGATAATTTAATTGATGGATTCTTTTAATTTAAACATACACATATCGCATTTTTGACAGTTGGATCAAAACTCTACAAAGATAAAGGGAGAGGTCCCATTCTTCAGGAATTCATAATTTAAGATATTGTGAATGTAGAGAACATTACTTGGTATAGACTGAGGACCTATTTCACAGGAGTGAAGGGCAAATCCTAATTTCCTAACTCTGAGTAGAAAGAGGATAACTAGATTTCCCCCCGTAGGGTTAATATCTCTCACTCTGACAAAGTTCACTTGTAATCCAAAGCGATTTATCCTCATTCTTCCTACTGTCTGACTCAGTCTGTCATTCACCTGTCTCAGGTATCTTTAGGAAGGAGACATCCATTTCCATTCAATGAAAATAGAAAGAAAACTCATTCTATTTAGAGATATGATCAACAAAATTTGTTCCTTATAAAAAGTGACATTCACCTTGACAACTGCACAGAAAACTGTATTATGATACTGACCAGTAGCTTTTAAATTTTTTAAAAATAGCTGAATAAAACAAAAGACTTTTCTAGTATTAATACCTTTTAAGTTATTTTCCATAACTTAGTCTGATATTCTCGTTTTGCTCTTTCTTCTCAGCTCTTCCCATCTACTGCTCCTGGGATTCAATCTTTGATGCATGAATTTTATGATATGGCAAATCCTATAGGGCAACCTGGTTCAGTCCTGACTCAATACTGGTCTCTTTTAAATGTATTTGAACAATTTCAGCTCCTGAATAAAAAGGCGCAGCTACATCCACTGGAATGGTAAGATAGCCACAAATTTGAATTGTGCAATCCAAAAATTCTCCAAAGATTGATTTCAAAAGATTTTGCCTGCATTAAAGAAAGCAACAAAAAGAAATGTGTCCAAAAATTTGTGCTCTGGAAAATAAGCTTCTTTAAAGCATTGAAACCATAACAATTCTAGTGGTCTTCAAACATTGTAATAAGAACATATCCAACAGTTTTTCATACCAACAGGACTTGACTCTAAAAAGTAATGTTTAAAATTAAAAGCTTCAAATTTGTTTCATTCTGTGATATATATCTTGAATTATAGGAGTATCAGACAGAAAGGATTGGGTGACTTCTTTTCTTTTCTTTTCTTTTCTTTTCTTTTCTTTTCTTTTCTTTTCTTTTCTTTTCCTTTCTCTCCTTCCTTCCTTCCTTCCTTCCTTCCTTCCTTCCTTCCTTCCTTCCTTCCTTCCTTCCTTCCTTCTTTCTTTCTTTCTTTCTTTCTTTCTTTCTATCAGTCAGCATGGAGCCCAAGATGGTTTGAACATTTATTTAGGGAGTTTTTGAGGCATGACTTTATCATGGGCAAAATCTACCCAAATTTATAAATGTGTCTGTCCCTGCCAGAAGAATAGAACTTTTCTTTTTTAGAAGGTAGAATCTCAGGGTACCTGGGTGGCTCAGTCAGTTAAGTATCTGACTTCAGCTCAGGTCACGATCTCACAGTCTGTGAGTTCAAGCCCCGTGTCAGACTGCGCTGACAGTGCAGAGCCTGGTGCCTGCTTTGAGTTCTGTGTCTCCCTTTCTCTCTGCCCCTCCCCTGCTCTTTTTCTCTCTCTCAAAAATAAACAAACATTAAAATTAAAAAAAAAAAAAAAAGAAGGTAGAATCTCAGAGAGAAACATTTGGCCTCTCCCTTCTACCTTCATTCTAATGAAAGGCAGTAATGAACAGATGGGAGAAAGGACTGGCCAGGTGAACACATTAACATCTCCTGTAGTTGTTGAAAATGGACAGTGCCTAACACACTGGCTAAGTCTGCTTTTCTTTTATATGATGGAATTCAGGGAATATTTGACTTTTCTCCTGCCAGGAAAACAGAAGCAAACCTAAAACCTCCTAGGGAGATGAAAGACAAAATGGCCAGGCCATAACCATTTATGTCTCTTGCAGTTACCCTCAGGAAGGAATGGCTTCGGTTCTCCTGAAGGGTGCTTCATTTCCCTCTGCCTCAGGAGATAATGAAAGCAGGTCCACAAGTTTTATTTTTTAATTAAAAAATATAATAATCATATATTTGATGAATTCTTGGGACATTTCCCAGAATCAGAACTCACTTTAATTGTCACAACTTTAAAGTTGGCCTAATTCCCTTGATGCTCAGAAGTAGTAAGTCTGACGGAAGGTTTTATTTGTTTGTTTGAAAAGTAGATTTTAAACAATAGAGCTTAGTGTTTCTTTGCACTCAAGAAATCAGAGTCTGTTTCATTCATCACTATCAGTGGGGAAGAGCAGACTTGATTTAGGTACCATTTTTAACTTTGACAACATTCCCTTGAGAGATGCAAGCATTGGAAAGTTTGCTTCCTAGCAAGTTTTTCGCAAGCTCTACAGAGAGTGTAATGTTAAGTAAGGGGCTTATCTTAAATCTAACCCTAACCCTAACCCTAACCTTAACCCTGATACCCCTTAAATAAGAGAATTCATTAGTGGTCAGTGTTAAAAGTGATCAGTGTATGCATAGGAGCACATGTACCCCAATGTTCATAGCAGCACTCTCCACAATAGCTAAAACATGGAAAGAGCCTAAGTGTCCATCAACAGATGAATGGATCAAGAAGATGTGGTTTATCTATACCATGGAATACTACATGGCAATGAGAAACAATGAAATCTGGCCATGTGTAGCAACATGGATGGACCTTGAGGGTATTTATGCTGAGCGAAATAAGTCAGGCAGAGAAGGACAAATATCATATGTTTGCACGTATAGGAGGATTAGGAGGAACTTGATGGAGGAACAAGGGGGAGAAGAAGGGCGGAAATGGTGGGGGAAAGGGAGAGAGGCAAACCATGAGAGACTCTTGATTGCTGACAAAAACTGAGGACTGATGGATGTGGGGAGGAGGAGGGATGGGCATGGAGGAGGGCACTTGTGGGGATGAGCACTGAGTGTTATGTGGAAACTAATTTGACAATAAACTATTTGTAAAAAAAGAAGATGAAAAAATAAAAAATAAAAAAATAAAAGTGATCAGTGTAGAGAGAGTAAGGACTTTTTTGAATCAGACAGATATGGATTCAAATATCCCAACCCTAGAGTTTATTAATTATAGCAGGTAAAGTTTTGACCCCTCTGAGACTCAATCTCCATATCTATAAAATAAGGATTATACTACCTACCACATATTATTTTACAAGAATTATATGAGATAATTGCCACGTACCACATGGTGTCTGCTATGCTGCAGGGCAAGTAGGTAATAAATATTAATATTGATTTTTCATGTTTCTCTACCATCCAAAGGTCACCTTAGGATCTACAATGGAGGAAATTTCTTTCTTTCTTTTATAGGAAAAGTAAGACAAATCCAAAAGATTTATCTAAGTTAACACTGAGAAAATTAAACATCAGATCTTTATCAAAAAGCAATTAGGTAAATCACTCTGAGAGCATTTTAAGAAATAATACTCAATTCTGATTATCTTCAAATTTACCTGGGAGCGTGTTGTAAATTATCATCCATGCTGTATTACAACGGGGACGCATATTATACCCATTTTTCAGATAAGGAAACCAGGCTGAGAAGGTGGGTCATTTGTTCAAGCCACACACCTAAGAGAAATAGAGGAGAGATTAGGACCCTGGCCTCACGTCCATGGTCCAGTGCTTTATTCCAGTTCATCCTGCAGAAGGGAGGTCAGGTTAGTCATTCATAATTGTCTTTATCTGCACAATGGTTACCTCCAGCTTTTTCTATTTCTAGCCAATTTTACATACCTATGCTACCTGTAGGGATTAATGACTTCATGTTTTCTCTTCTTTTTAAGTTAATTTATTTATCTTGAAAGAGAGAGAGAGAGAGAGTAGACATGTGTGCCAGCAGGGGAGGGGCAGAGAGGGGAAGAGAGAGAATCCCAAGCAGGCTCCATGCTATCAGTGCAGGGGTGATGCAGGGCTTGATCTCACAAACCATGAGATCATGACCTGAGCCAAAATCAAGAGTCAGATGCTTAACTGACTGAGCCACCCAGGCACCCCTCATGCTTCCCTTTAAATAAAGATCATTTGCTTAGAGCAACAAGATGAGAAGAGATAAAGTCAGAAAAACAAGAGTTAGAAAAAGTGACAGTTATTTATGTCTATGCCCTGAGGCCTAGAATTCAGAGGTCCCAACCGAATTAGTGTAAATCCAAACAAAATGAAAATTTTGTAATTTTGTTTACTATCAATATTTGTATACTATCTGCTAATTTTCACTTTACTAGAAATAAAGTTCCATGTGTACTTTGCTCTCATCAGATGCTTTCCATGAAAAATCCACACTTTTAAAACAAATAATTTATTCACACAATTGCACAAGGAATGTGCAGGATGCCTAACGTACAAAGCATCTCATTCCATTAAGATAGTAATTCAGTGTATGTGCATTTCAGGGTCGTATCTTTTATGAGCTTCACTTAGAGCTTTTGCTTCCCATGAATTCAGAGCTATTTTTTAATTTTGCCTGGCACCCAATCAACCTTCAACTAAACATATCTAACCTCATGCTTGCTTTATCTGTTTCTTCATTCCTTGGGAGGAAGGAAATATTTTAAAGTAAGTCCTAGACATTATTTTTTTCATCCCTAATTACTTCACTGTATGTATCAAAGAAAAAAAAAGCCTTCACAAAGTAAACTGCAATAAAATTATCACATCTTCCAACATTTACAATATTTTTAATTCCTTGATTCTTTGTAATTTGCTGATGTTTATATTTTGAAGGAACTGAATATGCCTTATTCATCTCTTCTCTACCACAGTGCCCAGCACAATATCTGGGACAATAAATATTTATAAAATGTAATTTAACACAGAGCATTTGATTTCATTCTCATCCCTGTGAAGGAAGGCCAAGGCTGTTATCTCTGTTCTGCTTAAAGAGAAATGGAGAATCACAGCCCAGCCCGGGAAAGTCAAATCACATCCTGCTCGGTAGTGTCCATCATCAGGACCAGCAGTTTTTCTGTCTGCAGTTTAGATTATTTGGTCCCAAATTTGAGGATTTAAAGGTCAATCTGACCAGGCATTTAGTTATATAACAGAAAAATGAGGCAAACACACTAAATAGAACTAACCCTTACCATTAGGCATAGTTATTCAGCATTTGAGGAGAGAAGATGCAGCAAGATACAGGTCATTTGCTGCATATCACGCTTCTATTTCTTAGGTTATCTGTATGCTCTTCTGCGTCCATGTCTCAGGGTTCCAAAGCTTCTTGCTTCAAGACCGTGTAATTTTATCCAAACAAATTCCAATAAGAATGTGTGTTCCCAGATTCACTTCTGTTGGACCCAGGCTATCAGAGATTGCTCACTTTTGGACTGAAGAGTGACTTTTTGCCCTGGTTTTCTTCAAATGTACTTCTGCTGATTGGAGATGATGAGATTTCCACCCACCTCACTTCAGATGAGATTGCCAGTTTTGAGGAGTGAAATCCAGAAAGTGTTTCTTTGTGTTCAGCGAAATATCTGTGCCCACACAGGAAAATAAAATAGTGTGTTCAATGTAATTTCCATGAATTGTGTTCATTTCATTGATCCAGATTTGTTTGGCATCACATTTGCAGGAATTCTTTCACAGAGGATGAGAACACTGAAAAACCACAAGTGCCATTTGATGCAATTGAAAATAAAAAAGGTAAAAAGATACAGTCTCACTTATTCCAACATGAAAATAAGTATTGCATGGCCCAAAAATACATAAGAAAGTGTTTCGCTTCATTAGTAATCAAAAATGGAAGTTAAACTAGGAAATACGATTTTCCTTCAAATTTGAAAAGATTTTGTCTCTTAAAGATAATAGAGCTGAGGAGAGTGTAGGGAAATAAGCATTCTTATACTACTTATGCTGGTTAACCTAGAGCGATTTCCCAGAAGGACCATATAACAACATGAAAATCCTTAGAAGTTATTCTTGCATCATAGAAATTTCACTCCTACATATTCAATTTAAGCAAATAATTTAGAATGTACACAGTTTAATGATATAAGTTATTAATAAATTTAAAAATTAGAAACTTCTATTTTCTTACAATTACTTCTAAAATTACTACAAGAAATAACTACTAATGTAATAATACTGGTTTGGATAAATAAATTAAGTTATAGGTTTCCAAAGAAATATGATAAAGCCATTCTAATATTGAAGAAGAGTTATTTATGGTGTGAAAGATGTTTATGGTATATAATTAAATGAACCAATTAGCTACAAGCAACATGGACCTCAGGGAAAATTAATGGCGATTGTAGTTTTCTCTCCTGGACTTATTTTCATGTTCTAATTTTTTCCTTCTAAAGAACATCTGAGCTTTTTGTCACACAAAAAGAAACTGTTTCTAATTTTAAGGATAAAGATGAAAAGAAGTACTACATGTTTACAATTTTTTATAAATCAAAAATTTTCCTATTACTAATCAAGATTTAATGCAGTACAGTGATTCTCAGCGTGTGGTCCTAGACCAGAAACATCAACATCACCTGGGAAATTTGGGCCATTCATATCTGCTGAATCAGAATGCTACCTCTCTGGGTATGAGACCCAGCACTCTGTGTTTTTAAGTGTTTATTTATTTTGAATGTTATTGTATGTTTTGAGAGAGAATGCACGCAGAGGGGAGGGACAGAAACAGAGGAGGACAAAGGGTCCAAAGCAGGCTCCGTGCTGACAGCAGAGAACCTGATGCTGGGCCCTAACTTGCTAACCTTAAGATCAAGCCTGAGTTATGGCGCTTAACCAATAGAGCCACCCAGGAGCCCCCAGCACTCTGTACTTATTTTTTTTTTTTTAATTTTTATTTTTGAGAGAAAGAGACACAGAGTGCAAGCGGGGGAGGAACAGAGAGAGAGGGAGACACAGAATCCAAAACAGGATCCAAGCTCTAAGCTGTCAACACAGAGCACAGAGCCCGAAGTGGGCTGGAACTCACGCACTGCGAGTTCATGACTGGGCTGAGCCGCCCTAGCACCCGGTCAGCACTCTGTATTTTAAAAAGCCTTTCAGATGATCCTGAGGCATGCTAAAGTTTGAGAAGACCGATTCAATAGAATGAATTGGTTAGCCCAGTGAAGAACTGATGATAAACTGCTACTCTGTCTTCCTGGTTCCCACCATTTTTTCTCTTTAAATGAATGATTTAAGCACTTTGAGTATTTTTATTCATCCCTTTGTTCCATCAGAACTTAGTAAGTTTTTTTATGGAGATGTTTGGTTTGTTTCAGAAACTTAAGAGTAAATGTCAGTGCAATCAACTGGATAGAATTTCTGTAATTCTAATGATTTGGGATATTAAAGTCATAAAACCATAGAACTAGGACTCTCAATAAATCACCCTCAGGCAATGGATGACATTTAGACCATTCATTTTTCTCCCCTAATATTTTCCTATTTGAAATAATCTTCCTTCTGAGATTTGAACCGAGTAACTTCTTTTATTTTATGTAGCTTTCAGTTTAACTAAGAAGTGCTTTCTGAGGTAATAAGTTAAGTAATAAAATATGTGTTTTACTAAATTGTGCTGTTTTAGATTAGTGAATATGTATTCTTTGTGTTTTGATTAATAGTTTTCATTTTAAATTAACTTTTTTTTTTAGCTTCTGTTCCACAAATTATAAATGAAACCAAAGAAGTTCATTGCAGTAATGGTGAGTTCCAATTAAAGTGCTTCCATGGCATAATCAATAGGCAGGCACCGCCCTTGGAAGAAGTCATCATTCTATTGTATTTAGATACTATTAGACTACAACATTAATATTGCAGTAAAATAAATAATAATAAATAATAAAATATTAAGTAAATTTTTAGAAGTTTCTGAATAAGTTATCTCTCACTTTTGCATATGAATAGCATTTTTTATTTTCTATTTTTGAACATTAAGTGTTATGTTTATGTGTTTGTTTAAGGACAGTGACTTTCAGACTCATTTTGAGGAGTCCTTAGGGTATTAAGGCTTTGCCTTGGAGACTGCTCAAGTGGAAATACTTAAGCTTATCTGCTTTATACTTTGATTTTTAGGGCTCTTACCACCCCACAGGGATTCCTTTTCTGCCAGATTGTTGACATAATGGATAACACTTGAGTTGAATTTTCTTTATTACAATTGAGAGTTTTAAAACTGCTTTTCAATTTATTTTCTTAAAATTCATGATTTTTTAAACCAAGATATAATCAAGAAAAATAGCTTATATATTATAGTAATACATTTCAAGTGTTATATAGATTTAGAATGTAAAAATAATTTTGTTCACTCTGGTCAGCATTATTCCAGTGGCCTTGCAAATATATCGTTCTAGAGAATCTAATTGATCTTTCCAAGATCATAGGACTATTAAATGCCTGAACTGGATCAAGAAGCTGGGTCTTCTAATTCTTTGTCTAAAGCTCATGAGTTATCTTAATACTTTATAATAATATGATAGAATAATAAGAGTTTTCTTAGCAGGCTTGCTTTTTGAATATATATATATATTTTTTGAATATATATGTGTGTGTATATATATATATTTTGAATATATATGTGTGTGTATAAATATATTTGGTGCTAAAACATGCACTTAGAAAATTTAGCCTTTCATGGGGCACCTGGGTGGCTTAGTCGGTTAAGCGTCCGACTTTCGCTTAGGTCATGATTTCGCGGTTCGTGGGTTCGAGCCCCGCGTCGGGCTCTGTGCTGACTGCCAGCTCAGAGCCTGGAGCCTGTTTCAGTCTGTGACTCCCTCTCTCTCTGACCCTCCCCTGCTCACGCTGTCTCTCTCTCTCCTAGAAATAAATAAAAAAATATTAAAAAAAAAAAAGAAAATTTAGCCTTTCACAAATAAAAAATCAATTCCAGTAAAACATAAAGTTGGAAAAAAATAAAATTTATAGATTAAAGTTTAATTTATTATAAATAAAAGTCTTCCCATTTCATAAAATCTAATTTGTATCTTCTAGAATGCAATTTAATTTATTCATTATATGTTTTTTAACTATCATTAAAATTGAGGTAGACTGAGAAGTTATATAATAGTGTGGCTTAATAGAATCAACAAATACATCCAATTAAAAAAAATAGCATTTTAAATAAAGTATTGCTGATCAGGAAAAAGGAACAGATATTACTTACGCCCTACTGTCCCTACATTTGCCAGCCGGTGTCTTACTTCCACAAAAATACATGCAACTCTTGGGAGGCTGGTGGCTAGACTATAGGGCGTAAAGGACTAGAGAGAAAACCAGGAGCAAGATTTGAATGCACATTTAGGGGTGCCTGGGTGGCTCAGTCGGTTAAGCTTCCAGCTTCAGCTCAGGTCGTGATCTCATGGTTCATGAGGGCTCTTTGTTGTCAACCGGGAGGCATCTTCAAATCCTGTCTCCCCCTCTCCCCACCCCTCCCACTAGCTCCTCCTCTTTTTGTCTCTCTCTCAAAAAAGAATAAACATTAAAAAAAATTAAGAATCCACATTTGTCGAGGGCTAGGCTCTGGGGTAGATGCAGCATCAGGAAAGCCACTTCACTTCTTTGATATTCTGTTTTATAATTTATAAAATGAAACAACTATATGGGGATAATCTCATTTTTTTTTTCATTTCCCAGGTAACATGCTCTACAGGATGTGAACATGTTAGATAAGCTCTTTAGCTTAGTTCATATTTTTATGGTGTTAAAACTAGTCCTACCTGGGGCCGCATAATTAATCGTCCTACTTTTATGGTATAATTTAAGATTTAAAAAATAACCTGATGATGCCTCAGAACAGGTGGGATTATCCTTCAGAGTCTAGGCTGTTCTCATGTTTAATATGAGTTATGATTTTCCCCAAAAGGGCAATAAAACTCTGTGGTTAAAAGAATTCATTAAAAACAACCAAAACTTCAAACAGTTCTCCCAAATACCCTTGCCAAAGAGGTTAAGCAGCTTGCTGCCGCGATAGCCTTGCGCTGGGTTCTCCGCAGATCTAGGTAAGCTGGCCTGAGGCGCGCTGGCACCCGGCTGGGATGGAGGCCAAGGAAACACCAGGTGTATGTAAGCAGCAACACTGATGATTCAGGTGAAGATGAGATCAAGATAAATCAGCTTTTAAGCAGAGCTTGGGATGGAGCACTTCAGCCAGAGGTGGAGAGTTTCTGATGAAACCAAAAACAAGCACTTGCTAGGATCTTGCTTAAGAGCATTGATTACACATTGGGTCTCACGTAGGGCTGAGTTTCAGTGTTATAATGGGCAAGCCCCACTGGAAACTTTCACTATTCAGCGAAAGTGTGAACTGCAGGGAAATCAACTCTCGGTGACTGTTTTTTAAAAATATATCATCTTAAGTTACAGTACATCCTCTGTGATTACTATTTTGAAAAAATAAATCTGCTTTATGATTCATTTAACTGGTTTTGAACATAAAAGTGTAATGCCAGTGTTTATGTTCCCTTTCCTCTTAGGAAATGGTCCTCTCAAAAGCACGTTTTATATCTCTGGGCTCCAGCCTGTTTAAAGTTATGTTAGGTTCACAGTCTCCAGTTGAGTCAGATCTCATGACCAACAGTGGCTTGTGTTTTACTGTGCTTATCTCAGTGCCTTGAACACAGAATGTGCTGGAAAAAATTTTTTGAAAAAAAAAAAAGAATGCATTATTAATAAGTAGTTGAATTCAAATAAAAACTTATGGTCCTTTTTGGGATGAGATCTAATAATATAATCTTGCCCTCATTCCTGTATCGGTTTCTCTTTTGCTTTAAAAATTTCAGAAGTTGATATGATCATCAGAATTATAGATGCAAGTCTACTTACATTTTATTTGGTAACAGGTAAAATCGATCAAGTCAGTACTTTACCTAATTATTTAACCAAAATGACCATTTATTTTTTATTAAGACTTTTCCCTACAGTGAAATTGCAATGTATCTATTGTATTATTATTTGTTCCTAATTTGTACCTGAGTAGTTTTTTTTCTTTCAAAATCTGAGAAAACTATAGAATGTGGGTCAGAGGTACATAGAGTATTTTTCAATTTCATTTTCCATTTTCATTCTCATTAGTGCATGATGGACGTTGTACTGAGACACAGTCCTCAGAATGGAAATAAGACATCCAGAAGGTTGGTGGTTTCCACTGCCATGGATGTGGTGGTACATCTCCATGTCTGCCAAAGAAGTATAAAAAGTGTGGCATTGTTAAGTCACAAAGTGCAGGACATAACAGGGCTGTAACTGGAGAGAAAGACAAGGAAGAGATTATGAAATGCCTTGTCTGCTCTATTAGGAACTTGGACTAAATTTTGGAGATAGTGGGAAACCAGTAAAGAACTGAAGCTGACACAGATCTGATTATAGAAAAGTCATTGTGATAACTGTATACAGATAGAGGAAGACAATCTACTTGCTTTAAGTTCACTGTATAGCTTCCTTCAGTGAATTCCGTGTTACCTTTTTTGTTGCCACGTTGTTAAATGTTATTGAACATCTTATTTAAAAGGCAAAAGTATGATACTTTCATTTTACTGATTTCTATAAAGTTTCTCATTACTGGAATTTTGTTAACCACTGAAAAGTATCTATGGAACAAAATACTTATTAATATTTCTCTGAATAACATTTGCTAAGCTTCTTTTGAGTAATCTGTTTATCCCAACATGGACACAATCTAATTTAGCAGTGGCTGGTATGTGTGCCTACAAATATATTTTTCTTTTACTCATCAAGATACTTTTGTAAAAAGTATGGGAACATATTTTTAAAATGGCTTAGAATCAATGGTATGAAGTAATGTGCTAGGTTCTGTGACAGGATCGAATGGAGTATGTCATTTCCTTGTCTTACTTTAGGGTACTTTCTTACGCTGAGGTGACCTGGGTAGGGAGGGGGATCTCAGGATGTCCTGCTGATGTTTTTGTGCCTAAATGCTTAATATAATATTGGATTTCACATTCTTCACTCCACCCTACTGCCTGTAAGCTACTATATCAATTCAATGGCAGTTTAATGACTCTCCCTATTAAGAAATGTTCCTCATTCCCTGCTGATGCCCTTCTGTTACCACTTCACATAGTCATCATCCCCATTCACCAGTTGCTTGATGTATGCTGTAAATGTCATAAAAATGTTGTCAATTCACTGGTGAGACATTTCCCGATCTTCTCTCTGCCTTTAAACTTTTAAGGGCTGAGCAAAAACTATCATCTGTCTAATGCCAACTAAAGTCAGCAGCTGTTACATAAGGTAAATTCTACAAAATCTGACAAATAGAAAATCCAACTGAAGCCACAAATCAAATATGACCAGAGTGCCAAGTGGAAAATCAATAGTGATCACTAAGTGAACATTTAAGGTTGTTCAAAAGATTTTTTAAAAAGCCACCATAATCAAATATGATTTTTCAACATTTATCCATTTCATAGTTGTCTTCTTTTTTTTAACAGATGACACACAGTGTTATATCAAACAGATCCTCACACATCCACATTTGGAGCTGAATCCTGAATTTAACCCGAAGATCAAAGATTATTACTCTGAAGTCCCATTTGACGTGGTAACAGTGACAATTGGAGCAGAGACTTCTAAGTGTCAGTGCAAGGTGTACCTGCATGATCGGGCAGGAACAAGGTATGGGGATGTTGACCAGGGCTGATGGAGACATAATAATGGGAAGCAGATATGTGAAGCAACCTTTGAAGATTTAGAAAATCTGAAGCATGAGATCAGTTGGAGAGATCACCAGGATGTGAAATCCTTTCACCTTTCAGGTGTCATGTGGTTGAAAAGAACACATTACTGCTCTACTTATCTGTTAGCAATATTCATATCTATGTAACAATGTTGAACAAGAGAGGATCTTGTGATTTGAAACATTAAAGAGACTCATTAAGGGTAGCTTCCTTCTACCCTAACCCAGCTCTTCAAGATTTTGAATATGCAGGGATTGAATAAACATTTTCATTACAATTTATGAGCATACTAATACTAACCTTCCTAGCCTTATGGAATGTTTTTCTATTGACCCTTTTGAGACTCACCAACTCTTTTGTTTAGAATTTTAAATAGCATATTAAGTTCCATGTCCAAGGCAAGGAAGATTCTCATGTTCCCACCCTGTAGGGAAAGAAATACACTTGTTATCCTGGGAGCTAAGAAAGTCTAGTAGAAGGATAAGAGGATTCAAGTCAGACCAACCTGGGTTCCAGCCCTGACTCTGCCATGGGACTTTGGGCATAAAGTTGTTCTGAGTATTAAATGAGATAATGTATGATCCTGAGAAGCGGTTAATAACTATTAGTTTCCTTCCCTGTAATTGATAGAAGTCCTGAATTGTTCTACAAGATACCTGCTGGCATACCAAAGTACTATGGAACATAATTAAAACTGTTTTTCATATTTTATGTTTCTTATGAAGCTGTATAGACCTTATGTACTTTTGTATGCAAATTAGGCATTTAATGAATATTGACCTATAAATCCATTTGGGCTGAATAAATGTTACTCTCTCTGTCTTTCTCCAGCTTTGCCAACTACCCTCTAGGTTTGGGAATAAACAAAATCTCAGTGTTTGTGGTGGATGAGTCTCCAGCACAGGGTGAGACCCTGATCACGTACAAACTCACCATCTACAGAGAAGATCGTCCAAGTCTGCCCTTGTTTGAAGACTTCTCTGCCTGCGGTTTTGTGCAGGTAAGTGAATTCTGCTTTTGCACTTGGGTTGAATTGGGAGTATCTGCTAACCCAGGTGCAAACTTCCAAGTGAAAATTGTTAGGAAAAAATGTATGCTTTCTAATCCAAACTGGTCTCATTTCAAAGGAGAAAGGGCCCCAGCCAGGTATGTAAGATACCGTGTTGTGAGTGGTTTTCTTTTTAGTGTGGTGGCTAGTCCCTACACGTACGGTGTGCGGTTGACTCACTGTGGTTAATATTGGAAAAAAAAGTCTGAGTTCTCACACTTAGTTATGAATTAATTTTACATTTCCATTTTAAATTGTGCTGTGTTTCTTGGATTTGTACCTGCATCTACTCTGAAACTTTAAACTAGATTCAGTGGAGTTTATTTTAAAGAATTAGAGGAAAAATTGTGAAGCTGTTTTATGGAAAGAATACCAGATGAATGAAATTAAATTTGCTTGGTATATATATTTTTCCTGCACTTATTGTATCTTAATCATTCCTAAAGGCTGTAGTTTCTCTTGTGAGCAACACATACCATTTTGTACCCCTGTTGATCTTGGAAGGTAACTGTTATCCAGAGACTTTGCCTATTTTGGTGGTTCTTTCCTCTGTTTCTTCCTTTTGTTAGGATTCTAGGTATAACCTACCACATTTCCTCACATCATATACCCTCAATGTAGGTCCTTCCGGAGAAGTAGTAATTGATACTCTTATCGTATCTCCTAATTCACTTAGGAAGTCTAATTGCAAATATGTCATGTCTCAATGACTGACAGCCCGTTGGGATCATTGAAGCACAGAGGATTAATAAAGGAAAGAAGCAGCTGACCGAGACTCAGTGGGTAGGACGAACACCATGTTTCTTAAACGTAGTGGCCAGATAAGCATTCTCTCCCCGTCTACCCATTCTTTGTCAGAGTGTATTTTATGCTTCTGCTCATTTGGCCTGATCACTCATCCCCAAACATGCTTCCAAATCTAGATGGTGGTCACATATATAACCAGGTGGTATCTAAATATATAAAAAACTTAACTATGAACTTAATACTTGTGCAATTTATTGTATATAAAGTATATATAAGTGCATCTTGCTATACATAAATTATGTATCCTGAATATAAGGTACACCTCAATAAGAGAAAAACAATACTGGGGAAGTATGTATTATCTTTGAAGACATGCCTCTCTTCTCAAATATTATATTCATCAAAAATAACTTAATTACCATGCAGTTACCTTAGACAATGGATTATATTAGGAATTTGTTACGATGACATGAAGAAAAATATTAGAAAATTCTTGTGGGATGTATCCTACAGATGATTGCAGAAAAGTATTTCAGTCATTTATAACAATCCTTTCCAGAAGGTTTTAATTTAAAGTTTATGTGTGGTCCCATAGCAGTACTATATTTTATAACATAGAAAAGTGTCTAATAAACACTAGTATTTTTTTAGCCTTCCTTTCACAAACTGTCAAATGACTGAAGAGACAGTGGATGAATAATAAGGATTGATTTAGACACTTAATGAGGCACGTGTGCCCTCAGGAACTTGGACAAGTCAATAGCAGAGGTAGGATTTTCTCCCCCTAGGCTCCAATGATAGTTCTAATCCAGAGACCTTTCCCCTATGTCTCCTTTATGCTTAATCTCATTACAGTCTTTAGCTTCCACTGCAAGCTGATTCCATGATGATGTTCAGAACACAAAGAGTAAGGGATATAATTTCTGAACTCCTATTAATTCTCAGCTATTCTAGAGTTTTCAAATTAATAGATAAACAAATGTACATTATGAGACTCATGAACTTTTGTTCTTCTACATTGTTCTTTTTTTTTCTCAAGAACCATAGTGCCTTTTCTATATTCTTATGTTGAATTCTAGTGTCCAAACTATTGCATATTAATGGTAGACCATTGTATTTGAATTCCTAAAACATATAGGTAACAAATGAAAGGAAGTGAACTTAACTTTAATCATATTTTATTTGTTGGTTAAGTGGAAAAATTATACTTCTTCTTTATATTTCAAATTAGATCTTTGTCCTAATGGATGCCATTATTAAATTTTAAACAAACATTAAAGGTAACCTACCTTAAAAATAGCCAAAAAAGAGTATCCAACTTTTGTGTAATCAAGCCTCCTAATTTCTCCTTCTAACACACTCTCACCTTCTAGATATCAGCTATTTGTTTTAGCTTTTCACCAAAAGACTAATTCTGAAGACAAAGTAAATATAAAGCATACCAGTCAATTAAAAAATAAATTGCTTTGACATTTTGGTGAATAATAAGATAACCTAATTTGTTAATAGACATTTTAGATCATTTATATGATCAAATACTGTTAAATACCTACTTGGCCATAATTAACTACTTGCATTAAGTGCCCATTTATAATTATATTGCCAGTTGGAATTTGTATATGGTTGCCATAGAGTTAACTCATAGTTTACTTATTACCAGTGAAGGAGAAATGGCTGATTTACACAACTGATAGAAAATAATTAGATTTGGACTGAAGTTTTTCAACATCAGCATTATCAATATCGGAGCTGGCTAACTTTTTGTTTTGGGGATCTATCTTGAGCACTGTAGAATGCTTAGTGGCGTCCCTGTCTTCTATCCAGTACATTTCAGAAGCATACCCTCTCCAAGCTGTGACAACCAAAAATGTTTCCAGACATTGCCAAATGTCCCCTGGGGGGCAAAATTGACCCCAGTTGAAAATCACTGATATATAGCAATAACAGGCCCACTTTTCTACTTTCCACTTATAAATCCAGTAATAAGATTTACTCAATGAATTTACTCAAAGTATGGATAGGTTAGAGGTAACCCTTCAACGATGAATATTGAAGAATCACACTTATCTATTTTTCATCCTTGTATTTTTAATCATTTCTGTAGTCAGTACTACTATGACAGCTCTTTATTCTTCTCATTAATTTGCCGTCTTTTCTGTCTAATGTAATTATAATCAGAAATATGCATTCAATTATAGAAAACATGATTCTTAATGAAACATAAAAAAGTCATATAACATACCTAGACTGTGATTTCATTTTGATTTACCCATAAATAGCATAATGTTTTGCTGTTAGGAAGAAGGATTTAGAAAGTAATAAACTGTTATTATGGCTGGAATATGTCATGCTTTGGAATTAATAAAATATATTTATGTTCTAAGGAAATTAAAACACATATGGGGAAATATTTCTTTTAATATCTCTTTCCAAATCAAAAATTTTTGACATGGATAACAATACAGCATCCATAGAAATTGATTTGTATAAATGATCTATGGTCTCATATACATTTTGCCCCCAAAGTGTTGTGCCAGAATACAGCCATAAATAAAATCTACAGGAAGGTCATAGAGCAAAAGCGTAGGAGACTACATTTCAGGGATCCATTTGTTAGAAACAGCTTTCATTTCAAAATAAATTACAATTAATAAAGGGAAAATACCAAGTAAGGAAAAATTTCAGCTTTTGAAAAGGATTTGCCTAGTATTTAGCTATAGATTTAAAACTGACATTTGCTGCCTTATTGAAAAAATTAATTAATGATCTAGATGCTGAGCTATTAAATGATGTGTAAATGACTCCAGTTGCAGCATTTGGAAATATACTTTTTCTCAACACAAAGGTTACAAAACAGCTCATGTGATAATTGTCTAATATTTTAGGAAATACTCATAATGAAAGAATAGAGAATATAAATGACTACTTAAAATGCCTTTGTTTATTTCCAAAGTTGTAATGCCTATAATATATTCATTTTAGTGATTTTTAGTTACCTTGCCTACCGCAATACACCAGAAAAATGTGATTCCATTTTTCAATAGAGCCTGTGTTGTAGTAAGAGGCTCCCTGCTAGCAACTATTTAATAATTTTTCTGCTAAGTTCTTTGTTCTTACAAATATGTCATGTAGTGTAGGAGATACACTAGCAGCACTCATTCAGCCAGAATTTAACCTGTTAAAATTTAGTTAGCTAAAATTTGTTTGCATGGTCATGTACAATGATAATTTTTATGATGCATAATTTTGAGGTCTTCATAATGTCCAATTTGATGATAAATCTTATGGAATCAGCACTTTCCCTTCCATAGTGTATCTATTGGAAAAGTTTTAGAGCTAACATCTAATATTTTACCGGACACCATATATATCCTAATATCTGGCTATCTTTATTGGTCCCAATATTTAAATCAGGTCTCATATTTTATATAATGGAATCGGTCAAACTACTATTATTACTACTAACTGTTAAAATGTTTTCCAATGCACAGGCTTTTTAAAATATATATATTATGCTTGATTACACATTAGAGCAATTAACAGTTAATCATTTTTTACTATTTGACACAACTCCCTACTTTATTGTTTCCATTAAAAACATCCACAGTGTATTTTTTCAAAACTTAAAAAAAAAGTTTGTCCACATAAACTTTATCATAGTGAGAAGAATGTTTTGTGGAGCTGACAGTTTGATAATACTTCAATGATATATTCATCGGTGTGAAAGGACCTTACTTTCATACTCTTATTTAATCTTCACACAGATAAGATTTTATGGGTGATTTTTATTATCTACTTCATCCCACTCCTTTCCAAGAGAAAATTAAGTCTTAGACTACTTTATATTTTGATATTAATTTATAAATTTATATATTTCTATTAATTTATATATTAATATTTAATTTTAAGGGTTTTCTATTTTGGTGATATATCTCAAAGGTATTAAGAACAGGCCCTTCAAGGGTCAGTTTCCACCTTCAGTGATTTGTTATGGTATTTGTAGCTCTCTGCCTTTAATGAGTAAGAATTAATAGGTTCCTGAATCTGTGAATAAATACTGCATTTAGTACTCACACATGTAGAAGATAATGTCTTCACTGTAAATGTCAGTATTTTCTCTTGCCCTGTGAACAGGATGAAGGTCCATTTTCTCTGTTGAAATTATTTTATTAGAGCAAATTTTGCATCTTAGCAGATTATGTCAG